TTATGAAATTGTTTCATATAATATTTAATGAAATTTTAATGAAACTGTTTCATGTATTTCTCTAAAATTAAAATAATGAAAATGATAATATCCATGATTAACACCCTTCACAATAAAAATGGTTAATCAACCTCTCATAATTACAAAAAAATGAACAAAATGAAAAATTATGATCGGTTGAATAAGGTTTTCACGGTTTTTACAAATTGAGTGGTTTTTATTTGAACGCTCCCCTATATAGATATAGATATAGATATATATATATATATATATATATATATATATATATAGGGGAGTCGTCTGTGATTAATGGACTTTTATGGCCTTTTTCACACCTTAATCTCTTGAGTTATATATGTATGGCATATGAACACGAATTTATAAATTATTTTTAGCATAATATTCTTAATTTATTACAATACAATTCAACACATCTTATTCTACATGCAACACATAATTAATATACAATCAATTTTTTCTACTAACTTAGATATCCAACATGTTATGTGAGCCGATTAATCCCAGGACGACTACCTGCTTTGCAGATAGCCCGGAGTCACCGCATTTGAATCTCCGTGGCCACAAAGGGATTTCTATTCCTCCTTAGATTTAAACCTGAGACCTCGTGGTACTTTTGACCTTTGAAGCCAAACTCAAGCCAATCAGACACTACTCTTATAGTTTAATATATACAATCGATTGTATCCATTTTGAACAATTTTGTGACCATATTTACTAACATCGTGTCTCACATCAACCTTATTTCCTCAAATACTCTTTTAAACTACAATTTGATCCATTTCCAATTCGTGTATCTAATCACAATTATATACAAACTAAAAAACAAAATGTGTTAATTTAAAGTCATATAAAAATGAATGACCCATTCAACAGTCAAAAACTATATACATATTTTGTTTACAGTTTATCAAAGTCAACAGTCAAAACCTTGAAACCGTTTATACATACCAACCACGTAATCCATTGTGGAAATCTTTATATAAATATATATATATATATATATATGTGTATATATATATACATCACCCATATATCATATCCAACTACAAGCCTACAAGCTATACAGAAATGAAGCCATCGAGCACTGCTTATGTGTTCTTGGTGGCACTCGTTATCTTTGTGGTTTCGGACCCCATCAAAGCCGGCCGAGTTTTGCATGAAAAGGATCGTTTGATCGACGTAAAGAGTGGGAACATGCTTGTTTTCCAGTCACTTCCGAGGGGACCGGTTCCACCTGCTGGTCCATCAGGGTGTACTTACATCCCTGGAAGCCATGGACCGCCTTGTCCTTAATGAACTTCTCTGATGCGGCCATGGCTCGATCAATTATGTCACAAATTGCTAGACCTGCGAAGAAGGTGCGGTGTGGTGCGTGATACTCGAATTAGCCTAGCTAGGTTCTAACTTTTTTTTATTACTGGTTTTCATGTTGTGAAAACATTTGATGATGATTAGTTACATATTCAATGATTTATTAATGATCTTCATGAAATCAATGTCATAATGTTTAATTTTAACAAGACTTTGTTGATTCATTAATTAATTACTAGTTTTGTTTTTAATTAAAACACGTTTATAATGGACGTGTGTTATAAATGTGTATATTATTTGTTAGAATTGCATGGTTTGTAAATGAAACGTAGCCTATATATATATATATATATATGTATATACTCTTGTAAGTAATAATTAAGTTCTAGAGTGAATTAGGTTACGTGATATGTTGAAAATTATGACTAACGTCAAAATTATGGATAAGGTCCTTGTGATTCTCATTTTCTTATAAATAGAGTCCCTCTGATTAACAGTGAGTTCAATAAAATCCGTTAACTTTGTTAATTGTAAGGGGCATTTTGGTCTTTTTTAGACCACAAGGACCATATCTATAATTCACTTTATTTAAAACATACTATAGATGTATATACACATATAGAAATGTTTCATGTTGACCTTGACAGGGACCAAAACACTTGGACGATTTCATGCCTTCTATCGCCGCCTCCATAATCCCTCTCTGGCATCAGTTAGTCCATCTACACCTCCGTTAATGCTCCCTTCCACTCGCACTCCTTTCTGCAACTTTCATTCGTGCATCTCTCATGGTATGAGGAACACGTGATAACCATCACAACACTTGGCCTAGTTCTCAAATATGGGTTTGGTCCAAATGACCATTTTGCCTTTAAGTTAAGAAGTGTGTTGGATGTTCGTTTGATCAAGTGACCTTAGTCATAAGAAATTGAAAAACACATGAACCAAATCCATAATTAATCAAGTTTAAGGACATTAATCATAATTTTCATTATACCATAGGGACCAAATCCGTAATTCACTCTAGATTTTATTTGTTTATTTATATATCAAGTTAAATATTGTTTTAAACGAAAAGGTACGCATTTAATAGAGAGTTAATTAAGAATCAAAGAACGTTTTTCCGTTCATCAATCTCGTAACGATATGTCAACATTTTATTGGATATAAATTTATTTAATTCATATTTTCATTCTTTCTTCTCAATAAATAGCTGATGTAGCTTCACATAAGTGGTCGACATGTAAATGTCGGTCATAATTGTAGTCTGTTCCACAGAAAGAAAAAAACTGACACGATCGAGGAAAGGTATGGGACGGATACATAATTAATTGTACGGGTGGTTATATAAATATAGTGGGATGATTATATATGTAAATGTACCGGGGGCATATATAAACTTGATGTTACTGGGAGAGAAAAAAATAACGTGTTGACGGAAAAAAAAAGTCTTCTGTTACGTACCCTTTCCTTATTCGAACCAATAAGACTTTGACCCTTGAACTTTTCCGATGGTGCTATGTGTAGCTAGTTCAACCCTTGATCATCTGAACCGGCCAAAATGGGATGCATTCGATATCCGTTGTCGTTAACCGAATGAGCTCAAACTATTTTTGTATATGCAACAAATCAAATTAATGAGAACCAGAAAAATGATGAGAAGCAATTTCACATGTATAAAATGTTGTTTCATATATAAAAAAAATCGCTTCACATGTGAAACAAAATATATTCACACACTTTATATTATCATACACTACAAAAAGTTTAAGTTTATAGGACGCCACCAATTCCAAAGTGTCATATTAGACTGCTTTATAGGACTTAATTTATATGACCAAAAAATAAAGGGTCTTATCAAGAGCAAAGATAAGTTTTCTTACTCAGATTAGTGTGTTTTATTGGATTGGTTATACAACTAGTGATATTAGTGTGGATTGCTACGTTGGTATAATTTTACTCCACCAACACGGCATTGTATGCAACAATCTACACGGTCAGCGCTAACCGTGGTAAGAATCATCGCCCACACTTACTGGGCAAGACTCTCGGTCTTTGCCTTAGCTTTAATTACCAGGTAAGATTATTGGTGTTTGTCATATTCATTCTGTAAGGTAATATGACATGGTAAGCGCTTACGGCCCCTTAGTATTTCTTAAAGACGATCTTTGTAATTTACTCTAAAATGATGCCCTCATTTTCTTAATAACATAATTTACCAAGCTGTAAGCATTTTTTGTACAATTGAAACAACTTTCAACTTGATTGATGCATTCATCCCACCCATTTTGATAAACTTTTTTTTATTCATCTAAAATTAAAAAAATTAACAAAAAAGCCCAAAACCAAGCTTACACAATCCCATAAGCCATTTAAATGTTTAAGTTGGTATTTCTATAAGCAATAAATAGATCTGATCTTGATTCCAATCAATTAAAATCAGTCATTAAGACATCTGAATTTACCTCCTTCATGATAGTTGTGAAATGATACAACAATAAACCTAAAGGGCAGCACAAACCCTTTTTACAATAAATTAAGGGGCCGCTTATCAAGTCTTTATCGAGTAAGTGCTTACTGGGTTGTTTATTTAGTGTATGAGTATGGTAAAGATCGAGAATCTTACTCAATTAGAGACAAGACAACAACCAATGTTTTGTATCTGGTAATTAAGAGATAAGACTCTTTACCTGGTTATGCTTACCAAATAAGAGTAGCTTAAAAACAATCAATTTTGATGGTCGAGAATGTTACCCAACAAAGTGAGGGTTGTGACTCTTGCTGGTAGGCACATACCTGACAAGCATAACAGTCTTTGGAAATAGTTATTTATTAATTCATGAGTGAACTATGATTTTCGTCCACGTGTTTCGTTAAACATTGCAACTTTCCTTCTTCTGTTTTTTAAATTACGGTTTTCGTCTTTATAGTTTGCAATTGATTGTTATCTTCATCATTGTGGCTAACTCAATAAATTGTAAACCACATGTACACAAAAACAAGAATGAATTTAAAAACCGTTTGAACAAAAAAAAAAAGGAAGTATAAACTATATAAACGAAACCGTAAATTCAAAAGTATAAAAACCAAAATAACAATTTTCAACAAAACACATGGACGAAAAACGCAGTTTACTCTTAATTTAATAAATTCATGTGGATCAGACCATTTAAATGTACCTTACAATAAGATCTGAAAAAACAACAACAAAGTTGTGTATTTTTTTTTTTGAAGTATATATTATTTATATACGACAAAATAGAATAAATAAACTCACACAACCTCCTCACCTTTAGTAAGGTTTGAACATTTGACTTCTTTGGAGGTCAAGAACTCACATACCGTTAGGCTAAGAGCCCTTTGGTTGAGTCGAATACCTTGACAAAGAAATGAAAATGATAAAGAGAATTAGACATATGTAATTTTTTATTATTATCATGTTTGATTGATTTATATAAATGATTATGACACTGAATGTTGTTAGATATATATCTGGATTACATTAAACGAGAAAAGAAAAAAACACTGAATGTTGTTAAAAGTAGTTTTTAACTTTTTATATTATTAAAAAGGAATTTGAAACAATTCGTACAATATTCATCGTAATGGGTATTTTACATGTGTGTATATGCACGTGCGTATACTTATTTTAAAAAGTATATAATCATGCATCAATAATCAGAGATGAGTACAATTTAATCAAAAGAAAGATACAAGTCGATGAACCTTTGAACATAAAGTCAAACATCCATCTTTATTTTCACAGACACATAAATAAACCAAATGACAACGTTTCACGAGGAACTTTGTTAATTAACCGATGGAAGGGGTACTTATTACGATCCCCTTCTTGTTCACCCATACAACAACCCTATTGCAGATATATATCTGTGCAATCACGATTCCTTCTGGGATGATTTCAGCATTAACCGAAGGGTTTTCTTTTTCTATTATAGCCTCTGCATGCTCTCCTTTCTTCCCAACCAGCTCTGGCCAACTTCTCTTACCTACAGACGCATAACAATAATGGAATAAACTAAGCTAAACACATGATAATGATATTAACTTGTTGGAAAACAGTGTGTTTTCAACGTTTTTGGACACAAATACTGAGAGAATTCACGATCTATTCGTTAGATATCTTATAGGGTTGTGTTATCCTTTGGGAGAGCTACGTAACCACGTAAAGATTATCCAAAAAGGAGATCAATTGGATAGAAATCAAATCTCCGAGTGATGACATTGAAGTGGGTTCTAAGCGTCGGTTTATGAGAAACACTCGACTCGTGTAGTTGAGATCTAGACCTTAAGGCCTTGTTTATATACCTTGGCAGTAGTGAATGAGTTAAAACCAGTTTTTGGTCATTTACAAGCTCCATTTGATAACAGATCACGAAGAAACTAGTCACAAATCAAACCGTAGCATCTTAACGTTCTCGCAACCAGAACTCAACAAAATAAATCACAATCGTCATAGTAATTTTTACATTACGTCAAACAAGTTCAAAGGTGGCATATATAACGCGTATATTATACGGGATATACAATTTGATGTTAATTATTTTTTGTAACAAGAAAAGTTATGAATCATACCTTGCTCAACTTGCTCACAATTTGATGCCATCGTCTTGATTTCACAATGTGAATTTAGCGGTTTATTTGGTGTTGAAGTTTGAAGGAATCAAATGGTTATTTATAGACTCAATTTGGTTATATCCTTAGGTATGGTAAGCATGACGTCTCTTTTAAATATATTATTTATAATTAAATTTTCATCGAAAAATTACAAGTATTCATATGTATACTGTTTATATTGGATATGTCTAAACAGTACTAACATACTGCCTTTCACCGACAAACAAATCCGTCGGAAAGTAGATCATCGACAGATTTCTAAACGGATACACCAGAAAACTCAGTCAGTGGCAGCATTATTGGCGGAAATTGACCGTCACGAATCCACCACCAATAGTAGTAATTAAATATTTCTGGTATGTAACCGGGATAACAAAACAATGATAGGAAAATACCATCAAATATGAAACTGATTGGCCGTTCAATATCATGAATGACTTCTCAATCTCATATGTCGTTGACTTTTATATCCGAATTATCAAAAATGAAAAATAATATTTTTAAAATAAGTTCTTTTCCATGGGAAATTTCTTCAAATTATCATTTTCCACATTCAAAATCATCTCTCAACTATTTCTCTTTCATGTTTACTCAAATATGACTACTTTCGCAGTATTCAGGTCAACAGTATTAACTAAAAGATAAAAAAGATTAAATTCAACCAGTTTACCTTCACAATTGCGGACCTGACCATCACAATTGTGACTAAATTGTTGATCTTGCTGCCGCACTTGCAGATCTTGCCATTTCAATTGCAGATTTGTGTTGAAATTGAATTCTTTTTTTGTCTTTTAGTTAGTATTGCGGACCTGAATATTATAAAAATAATGACATTTAGATAAACTTATGACTAGGAGACCAATTTAAGTGTGAAAAATGATTACTTGAATCAATTTACCTTTTTTCAATGATATTATATATTTATACAAAATAATATTATATTTCTATATTTGAAACCGAATTTTTCTACCTTGTTGAAGTGCTGGGTGTTTTGTTATATTTACAGAATGACAATTAATTTGAATAAAAAACAAAAACCAATAATTTAAATATCTATTATCTATATCTATATAATACTAGAAGCGTACTCGTGTAATGCAATTAAATACATCGTGATTTTAATATTTTATTTTATTTTTTATCTCAGTTGATGTAATAATATGGCTTTATGTGATTTTGAGAAAG